GGTATAGCCACCTAGATAGACCTTTAGAGCATACTCCTAATAGCTCAGAAAATATTCTAGAAGCTCTAATGACCTCTGTAGCATGTTTTACATACAAAAATATGAAAATTTGTCTTTGGTTGTGATACTTCGAACTTGTTTTCCCAGTGACAACCAAAAATGCCCATATGCTGGTTCTAATAAAACCACACTCATAATTATATGTATAATATTATAATATTATATATATATATATCTCATACGCTAGTATATTCGGGCTAGGGCCCGGTGTGTGAATTTTCGCTCGTGGCCCGTTTGGGGTAGGTGAGGACCGAGGGAAACCTTTAGGGTCTGTATTTTGGTCGGGTGTCGCTTGCTCGTTGGCATTGGTGGAATTAGTTCGGGTGTGGTGTTCTGCCTTTTTTTTTTTTTTTGCCTTGCCCCGTCTTGTGTGTGCGCTGGATGGATGGACGGGCTGTGGGGAAGGATTTGCTCGGTTCGGGTGTGGATCTGAGTGTGCTGTACTTGCGGTGGTGTTCCTCCTCCAATGTCGGTGGGTAGTGGGTTGGGGGAGTGTTGCCTTTTGTTATCACACCTGTTTTGTGGGATCATATGGTATCACTCGTTGTGAGAATCTCTCTTCCGATGGTTGGATAGGGGCTATTGGGTCAAGTAAGGGTTGGTGGGGGAGGGTAGAGGGAGTGTGCTTATGAGGGGGGAATGTGTTTTGGTGGTCCGGAAGGGAGGGGTGTTCAATATGATTCTACTAAATTATTCCAACGGCTAACCATGGACTGCTCAGCAATATTCCTCGGTCCCGAAATGGGGTGGAGGGCAATACATAGATAACGTTCCGCTCGCTCACTTCCCCACCCTAAACAAAACTGCCCCAGACCCAGGCTTACTAGCTACGATCGCGCTCTCAACCTTCTCCTTAGCAATCCCAGGGAACTTCTTCTCATAATACTCCCTCCTCCAAGCCTCCCTTACCGCTTGAACTTTGTCCTGCGGGACAAGGTGCACACTGCAGCCACCCCACCCGGCGCCGGTAAGACGGGATCCGTACGAGCCTGCTGAGAGTGCAACCTCACACAAGGTGTCGAGTTCGGGGCATGAACAGTTGTACAAGTTCTTGCAGGACTCGTGGGACTCGTTCATTATGGCGCCGAGTTGGATTGGGATATTGGCATCTGTGGGGTCCGACAAGGAGGTGGTGGAGGAATCGAGGAGGGTTTTGAAGGTCACCACGCGGTAGGCTTCTTGGAGGACATGCAGGGCGCGGGAGCGGAGCTGGAAGTGGTCTGCGAGGACTAGAAGACTTGTTGGTTGGATAACTGTGGGGAGAAAAAGGTGGAGGGGAAGCTTACTGGGGAATTTGACCATGCAACGTTGGACTAATTCTCCTACTGATAGATCCAAAGTTTCGGCCATTTCTTCCCTTGTATAGCCTTCTTCCTTGTCTAGGTGTTTTTTCGTGACTTCTATGAGCCCCTCCAACTTCTTGTCGAGTGGTAGGTCTTTTCCAAAGAAATACTTGTCCATGAGGCCTATGAAGGAGTTACCCAGGGGCCCGGCATCTTTCGGGAGCTGGCCTAGGTTCAGTTTCTTGGCTAGGATCTGGGCTGCGAGGGTGCACTCTACTACTCTGAGGTTGTAGTTTGTCTGCCCTGTGGCGTGTTTGTCCGCCGTGACGAGTGTGTCGGCAATGAGGAAGGTGAGCTCCGGGGTGGTCTTCGGGAATGCTACAGGTGTTGCGTCGAGGGTTGGGTGGAAAGAGATGTATAGTGCACTACCTTGGACGCCGAGAACGGAGGCTGATTGGTCCATCCTATCCACCACCGAACGGTCGTTAGCCCCTTCTCCAATCTCCAGGGAAGGGTCAGGCGGAGCACTCGCCCCCCGGAATTGACCCCAACATATCTCTCCGACACTACCGCTAAATTAACGAGTTCCTTCTTATCAAAAGTCCCATCCCCCATCGCCGCCAGGGATGCCAGAGCACTGGCACAGGTAAAAGCAGCACTGCTACTGAGTCCAGCTCCCGAAGGAACACTTCCGTCGGCAAGGACCTCCATCCCGACGGTTTTCGGTGGGCGTCCCTTCCCCCGGAGCAGCTCGAGAGCTCCGCGGAGCCCGGATTTGAAGTAGTTACTCCATTCCAACTGGGTAGCGTCAATCCCTAGCTCGCCCTGTGCCGGAACCTGGAATTCGCGCTGGGGGTATTTCTCCGAGAGGTTGGCGATCGTGATGGTATCGGTGTTTGGGATCACGCGCACTGCGAGGAGAAAGTCGGAGCTTACGGCCATGGGGAGGACGGGGAAGAGCATGTAATCGATGTGCTTGGCAGTTTTATCAGTGTTTTGAATATTCAAGGGGAAAAGGAGGGCCCCTCACCTCTCCGATAATGTTCACCCTCCCGGGGCTTCTGGCAACGTAGTCCGCCGGAACTCCATACCTCTCCTCAAACATTGCCAACAGGTGATCCCATCGTTGCTTCTGAGCAGCCCCGAATTCCGGGGGATATATTTCCTCGATTGTGAGTACTTCTGGAACCGACTCGCTCATGCCTGCTTTCCCTCTCTCGACGAGGTGAGTTGTGGGGATCAGGAGTCACGGGAAGAGGTGGGGGGTCAAGGAGTGGGGTGATGGAGCGGGGTATCATACTATAGAATGATAGGGTACGGGATGGAGGTGGGGAGAGATGGGATGGACATCGGGTGGTTTGGATAAAATATTTACGCTTTCCGGGGGGGTTGGGTTTTGGCGGAAGCTACGGCATTCCAGCTGGATGGGATTGTTTTCATAGGACAAATACGGTAGACGCTGGAGGTTTTGGGAAACGTCATAGTGCAAGGGTTTGTTTATTAGTTTGTTTCCAACCTCTTGGCACGGTGCTCGAGTGAGCGCGAGTGATTTATTGGGCGACTAGTGGAATGATATCGGTATCGATAAAGCGCGATTTTAATGGCAAAGCGGTACTGCACATACAGGTAGATCTTGGTGGTGGGGAGCCGAGGATCATACTTGTATCTTATCATAGAACAGCCAATTTCACCTGTCGAGCTATTACCGGTATTACGGTACTCGTATCATATTGGTGCTGGGGGCTGAGGGCGGGCGGGGGAATGGGTGTGATTGGCTGGTGGACTGCTTCGGCCACTCAGGGAGCAGTATGATACTTTGTTTACCGGTAAGATATTGTACTCGTACTGTAGAGCGACTATGGCAGGGGAGTACCGTACTCTGTAGATACCGGTAGGTTGCCTTACGTTTCGCCCCCCCCCACCCAAAAAAAAAAGAGCCAAGATTGGCCCTTCGTCTGGTTACACTCACCAAATCCCGGCCGTTAAGAGGAAGGAAAAGAAAAAACGGAATCATCTCACTTGGGCTCACCCCCTAAGGTTCTCCTCTACTCGTACAACTACGAAAACCGTTAACTTCAGATCCCCGCCGGCGCCAACCAAGCTAGCGCCGGCGCGGCGCTTGTTGCACAGGATCGCGATAATACAGCCCATGGTTCGGCGGATACGGTACAAGTACGATAAGTGACCCCCCGAAGTGCCTTGTCATGGGACGTCACTCGATTCGGCTTCCCGTGCCGCTACGTCGCGCGCCCCTGGTGCCTTGGCTTGACCGCCCCATCTTCTGCGCCCCCGAGCATAAGAATACGATAGACCCCCTCCCCCCCCCCGTGAGTGACAATACTATACCAGTGGTACCCGTATATTGTTAGGGGCAGCCTTCCGGAGCAGGGCTTACTTTCTCACTCGGGCGCTCTCCAGGTCCGGTTTGCTTACGGGGAGGCGTATGGTGCCGTGCTCCCCGAATAAGATTGAGGGCGAGAGATCGGGGCCCTACTTGTGCACCTGCAGCTCGTCCCATCCCGGCCTCTCTGGGGCTCCTATGGTTGGTATTCGCGCTGAAAGGTCGCGATTCGGGGGAAGGACCTCTTCTCTACGGCTGAATGGTGTACGAGTACGGTTTTGCTCCTCAAACTGCACCTTTTCTTCTCCTTTCGACGGTTGGGTATTCGTGGTTTGGTGCCGTGGATTGGAGTGGGTGCCGTGCTTTTGGCTCGATGCATAAGAGGTGTGGGTGTGAATCGTGGGGTTCTGTCTGGGTCGCTATCGTGTTTTTGATGATGGATGGATGGATGGATGGATGGATGGGTGCATGCATGCTGTTTTGGTTACGGATTATGCTGCGCGCTTGGGAGACCTGTGGTACGAGTACTAATGGCTTGGCTATTGGCTCGCGAGGATGGTATGCGCACTTTCTACTGGACGTGTTCTCGAATGGGACTATCATATACCCCCTTGGGCGGATTTTTTTTTCTGGGTACCATAGCGGTGGTACTCGTAGCAGAGGGCCCCGTATTAATTAATATCCTGCGCTGCAAGGGCATAACAAGGCGGAAGTGATGCTCTTAGCACGTTGGTCCGGAGGATGGCTGGGGCATAATTGGATGAGAGGGATATCGTATATGCACATTTTGGGGCAGTGCTTTCTCGGTGCGCCGTGCGGTGCGACTGGTGCACGAGGCTTGCTTCCGGGTTAATGTCAAAGTGGGTTTTTTTTTTTTGAGAATAGCTGCTATCCCGATCCAAGCAAAAGAGGCGAAAGTATGGTGGCATGATAGAGTTTGGTGGGGGAGTTGGAGCTGGGGAGAGTGGAGGAGTTCTGGCGAGGTATGGTTAGATTGCGTGAAGCTTTTGCTACGGGTTGAGCGGATGAGGGGGAAGAAGTGTTTCCGTGATAGGAGGGCACTTGTCGTGGATTGGCCATCTCCTGTTACGCCAGTATGTGTTTCCATAGGAGGAGCATGTGTTATCGTGGGCTACCGTGGGATATGATCCGCGTTCGCCAAAGTGCGTCAAAGCGAATGGAGGGCCTAGTCTACGGAGGAAACGTATTCTGGTGGAGCTGGTAGGCTTGCTGCAGCTTGAGATTGGAATATCTGAGGAAGAGGCTGTGGTTGGGGGTGTTGGGTCACTACTGGCATGTATGGTAGAGCACTGGGGACTGCTGGCACCCATTTTTCCCATCCAGCCTATCTTGCACTGTTAGGGACGCCTCGAGAACTGATGAGTTTATTTTGCCGGGAAAGTTATGGGCATAGGGAGTCAGAGTTTGAATGGGGAACCAAGTGGGTTTGTTATTCATCGGGGGAGAGCGGATCGTAGCCAGGGAGGTTGGGTGAATTGGTGAGGGAACCGTTTTTCCATGTATGGTGTCGTAGAGTGGCTTCATGGTTCGTGCCCTTGTGTCTGTCCGTAGGATACCGGTACTGTGAAATAGTCCAACACGAGGGGGGCCCGGAATCCACCACGGCCAGGCTATCGAAAGAGACCCAACTATCGGCCCCAAGCTACGGGTGTGTCGTTTGTGCCCGTGTAGACTAGACTGAGCAGTACTGCATGGTGCTCGAGTACGGTGCGAGTACGGTGAACCTTTGAAATGACTTTATAGGTAAAGTCCACCCGGTACGAAGCTACCATGCCAACTTGGGCCGGCCAAGTACTCGTACCGGTACATGCCCTCGCCACATCAACTCCCAACGATCGGCGGGACCGCGGCCGTCCGTTCATCGAACCGTGCACTCTGCTGCCAATGCCTCCATCCCCATGGAATGGCCCGACCGGCAGGCACCGTACTAGTTACAGTACGGTACCAGTATTCTACAAGTACAGAACAGACTGACACGGGGGCATCGCCGTGGGGCTTAGCACTGGGAGACATTCTCGAAGTATTCCCGTTCTGGGAGCAGCGAGACAAGTTCCCGGTTACTTTGTGTTACTATACCTCGTTGAGTCAGCGCTCGTGACGCTAAGGATTCGGGGATTGTTGAAAAAATTGTCACATGGACTGTTTGGGGTATGATATGATACGGTATTATGGGATGAGGTTTCCACTCTTTCCGGGGCGGATGAGCGAAAGAATGAGGGCTTGGGGCAAAAGATTTGGGGCGGATGGGGCGGCTGTTGCAATGGCGTTGCACGATGTTTTGAGCATGGGGGAGGGAATTCTGCTGAGGATACAAGTATTATGGGAAGGGGCATGACGACGGCCGGGATAGGACGGAAATAAGGTAATTTAGTAACCATGGTGGAGGTATGTACGGTGCGTACTCGAGTACCGTACCTTACCCGTACTGGCGCTTTTGAACTTTTGCTGGCAAGCCGTTCGCGATGGGCGGGGGAAGTGGTGAATGGCAAGTGCAGTGGTGCGGTTGAATGGCGTGGAATGCTCTGGCTCCTGTTGTCTTTCGATTCCATGGCGCCGTGTGATCTGGTGCTTGGTGGGAGGGAGTTGTGATAGGATCAGGTAAACCGACACACCCACCGCTGATCCCGGTATCGTGGGCATCGTGGCCGAGAGGTGGAATGGGGCCAACATGGGGATTGATAAGGGGCTCGGCTGCTGAAGCGTGTTACCGGCAGAGTAACGTATGATAACCTGTTTTGGTTGTTGCGGTAACTCGCTGCTCCTTGTGGATGTCAACTGCAGTTTGCCTTGCCCTCCACACACGCCCCACCCCCCGCACTCTCTTTTCCGTTGTCCCGGTTGCCGTTGCGTGGGTGATCTTCCCTCGCTGCCATGCCGGTATTTGTTATATAGGGTGCCCCTTCCCCTCCCTCCACTTACGCCAACCGCCCTCGCCAGCATTTATTGTCCTCGTTTCACTTCAAACCGAATACTCCTCCTCCACGCTGTGTCCACACACTTCCACCACCGCGGAAAGGAAAAAGGGAAAAAAGGAAAAAAAGAAATAAAGTTCGGAAACAATGAGTGGCAGTAATACGACTGGTACCGCCAAGCACCCTATCAGCGAGACCGCTTCGCCCAGTGCTGGAGGCTATCTTGTCTCCAATTCAGCGCTAGGTGGGGGTGCGAGGTCGACAAGCACTGAATCTCCTTTGATTGTGGTCCAGCCCGCGAAGCGTAGCGACTTGCAGCCCTCGTATGCACAGGTCCTTGAGGCGGATCCGAACGATGCGTCTACCACAGGATGGTATGGGTCTATGAGTACGCATCACGGATATCCTAACCGCGGTTTGCCGTATCACTGACATGTTCTATCAGTTGGCGGTTTGGGATCCCTAATCGGATTTCTTGGTGCCATTCCATGTTGCGTCATTTGTCCGAATCCTTATAAGCCGGTCCACCAGGGCAGTGTCGGTCTCGTTACCAAGTTCGGGAAGTTCCATCGCGCAGTCGACCCTGGTCTCGTCAAGGTCAACCCTCTTTCCGAGAAGCTCATTCCTGTCGACGTGAAGATCCAGCTCTGCGAGGTTCCTCAGCAGGTCTGCATGACAAAGGATAACGTCACGGTTCACCTTACCTCCGTCATCTACTACAATATCGTCTCGCCGCATAAAGCCACTTTCGGTATCTCGAATGTGCGACAGGCGCTTATTGAGCGCACGCAGACCACCCTTCGACATGTCGTTGGTGCTCGTGTTTTGCAGGATGTTATTGAGCGCAGGGAGGAGATTGCCCAGAGTATTTCTGAGATAATTGAGGATGTCGCGAATGGCTGGGGTGTGCACGTTGAGAGCATGTTGATCAAGGATATTGTCTTCAGTCGCGAGCTCCAGGATTCCCTTTCCATGGCCGCCCAGAGCAAGCGTATTGGAGAGAGCAAGATCATTGCCGCTAGGGCGGAAGTTGAGTCTGGTGAGTTATATAGGATCTCCATGCCGTGAACCCGATTTCTGACGCTCTCATAGCCAAATTGATGCGCCAAGCTGCCGATATCCTTTCCAGTGCCCCAGCGATGCAGATCCGTCAACTCGAGGCAATGCAGGCAATGGCAAAGACCGCAAACTCCAAGGTCATCTTCCTACCCACCTCAAACACCGGCCTTCAGCAGTCACTCCAAGCTTCCGTCGATAACGGCGAAGGCCCTAGCAGTGGTGTCGGCCGCTCCTCAGACTTTGGAGATGACATGGATCCCTCCTTCCACAGGGCTTTGAACGCTCACATTGTATCGGAGATGTGAAGCGCTTAGCTTACTGGCTGTGCTTGTGTTACTCGTCTCTTAATTTCTACTTTGATTTCCTTTGTCACGGGAAATGGTGCTGGGGGTTAGCTGGACCCTTTCGTTTCCGCTTGGATGTTTGAGCCAAGGCTGGGCTCTCTTGAGGTGGGGTTTGGTGTATCAAAATGATGGGTTGGGGTTTTCGGGATTCTTTGACACGAACGACGCATGATTGATGTGTCCTTTTTCGATAGTATCAACTAGCTAATTATTGAATTATTAATGAAATTTTTGCGTTTTCTCTTGTATCGTGAATTGGCAGGGTTTCCCAGTGAAGGGTATCATGTCGGATTCTGGATCGTGAGCCTCTCATAGAGGAGCTCTTTGTTTTCTCCACATTGGAGTCCGTAATAAGCAGGACGGTTAGCTGCGGATGGCTTAATCAGGCGATTTACCATGCCTTATTCGGCCTTTAGTACGTCACAGCCACCCTCCCCCAGAACTAACCAATTATCATCCTTCAGCCCTCATCATGACTTTCCGCTTTCCGCACGGACAGGAAGTCTCGCGCGGGCCCTTTAAAAAAGCTGATCAGGTTTGTCGTTCCTTCATTTCATCATGTCCACTCCTTCCTCCATAGATTCCCAACTGGCTATAGACCTCTTTGAAAACTCATCCCCGTCGTCTCGAAGAGGGTTCCTCTCAAACCTCGCACGGAAGTTCCATCCTTCTGACTGGAATCACATGCATACCCTGCTAGAGCAGACGGGATTCTTTATGGATATTATCGGTACGCTCTCGATTGAGCTCGCCTTCCAGGTGATTCAGCACCTCGACCCGATTGACACCATCAGAATCCGCCGCGTGTCGAAGCGTTACCATGAAATCTTCACATCGGAGGATGTTTGCCGTTTTCTGTCCAACAAACTTTTGCCGCTGGAGGATGGCCCCGCCCAGCCAGAGTCATGGAGGATTTACTACGAGAATAGGGTTTCTCGTCGATGGGCATTCCTCAATGGCGAGTCTCACAGCGTCGAGGAGCTTGAAAATTCCACTACGATGGTTATGACCTCCTTCTGTCATAAGACTTCGCAGTTTGCGTACGTGTTTGATAATTTTACTAAGCTTCAGGTTGTGGACCTGTCTACATCTCCCATCACCGAGGTTCTTCAGCCGATGTTCTTGCCGAATAGATCTCGTATCCTGCTTATACAATTGCTTCCTACGCATGTTGTCGTGGCTACTTCTATGGGGGTTTGCTACGCTTGGAACCTGTCAACGATGGAGTGGCATAGCTTCAAGTTGCCCAACGCGCGCGTTAATAGTATCCACGGGGACGGAGACTTTGTCGCTCTATCAGTGTTGAAGATCCTGGTCGTCCACGATGTGGTGAGAGAGACTTCCAAGACGTATGAAGGGGAGCCTCTTGAGTGGCTTTGGAATATCCCGGGTTCGGATATGAGGTTCCACAGGCTACTGGTTGATGCAGAGAGAAAAAGGGTCTGGACGCTTACGGAATCGATGCCTCTCGGTAAGCGAGTGGTTCACATGTTGGATCTTTTGACCGGGGCAACGGCGTTGAGGGAAATGGTTTTGGAACCGCAGCCTGGGGGCGGGGCCTACAACTGGGAGTTGAGGGAAGGATTGCCTCTGTACTCCGGGAATGACTGCTACGACTTTGTCTTTGACTTTGAAGTTTATAACCAGAGAGCATGCACGGATAAGGCGCCTAGAGCCAGCAGGCTTGTCTTTGACCTCCGGACCGGCGAATGCTATGAGGATACGTTCTATCTGGAGGCCTGCGGGAAACAGATCCCTACGGAACAATTTGCCCACGGGTACAACGGCTTGACCTGCTGCTACAATCACCACTTTGCACCAGATGGGGAAGAAGGTGAGGACGGCTTTGCGTCTTCGGATTTCTTTGTTCCGGGGATGGCGTATCGCAAACCTGGGAAGGAGGAAGCTAGGTTCCGCTTTCTCGATCGGCCGAATTCAGTGAAGGTCGGCCAGGATAGAGCTCCGTGGCTATGTAATGCTATGACGGAGAAGTTTGTCTTGTTGGTTTCGCACTGGGATTCGGAACTGCCGCTATTGGTGAGGTTTAAGGGGATTCATGAATGAGCATGAGTCACTGAGCTGCTAGGGGTTGTTGATGTCCTTCGTTTTCGCGATTATGTTTAGTTCGGTAAAAGTGGGGCTGGGCCAATGTTTTTTTTGGGGGGGTGGGAGTCTAGGTTGGAGGTGGCCTGGGGCGGTTTGGTTCTTCATTTTGTGCTGCAGTCGCCGCCGGATTGGAGCTCTACCTTTCTTGGAGGGTTACCACTAAAAGAAATGATGTCCCAAAGCACTACTCCAATCCAGGGGCTTGGATGCTATTCCTTTTCTTTAGCTACTTTAGCTGGATTGAGTTTACAAGTCTTTTTTGTTGCGGATACTAGTGGTGGGGTTTTTCCTTGGGCGCCGGTATGGAAAGGGAGAAGCTGGGTTACGGGATTATGTGAAGTACGTCAGATCTCGCTCGTATGAAATGTATGACTTGCTCGGGAGCGCCTGGGGATGTGTGCTTGGCTTATGGAGAGATAATTTCCAGAATTTGTACGAGTTTTGCGAGTGTTGCTCGCGATTCTCAGGATATATCTCTTCACCTAGGATGATTACTGCAACAGCCGGCGGGTGAGAGGCCGTAGTGTCTGGGAATTGAGCCATTGAGTGAATTGGTTGTTCGATGAATAAATTTGTAATTTAGCTACGCACCTCAACTCGCTGTCCTATGGTTTGGGGAGCGTGCCATCGATGCAAAGGGTGGCGAAGTGAGGGGAAGAGGTGCAGGCGAGTATTGTTTTTGTCAAGCAGGCTCAGCTCGCCCCCCTGGGTTGATAGAATGCAATGTATAAATTTTTTTCTGCTTGGCTGAAGATCGTTGGATAGTGATATGATATGGACAATAAGGAGGATTAGATTAATTTGGTGATATAGAGTCTTATAATGGTCATGGTTACAATTATTGAATACCTGAAGGTAGAGCAAGAAAGTTGAGTTTTAAGTAATTAGAAGCAAGGTACAGTATACTCTTTTAGGTACAGTATAAGATACTATTAGTTTAGTTGTACTTATAGAATTTTGGATAAAAAAAAAGTAGAATGGTAACCTGAGTATTATAATTATTAAATATAAATAATGCCTTGGTTATAGTCAAGGATTAAAATTTTAGTAGTGTGGAAAGGAGAAGGAATTAAGGAAAAGTAAGAAGTAAGAACTTAGGATAGGTTAAAGGTTTTGTTTCAGACAGGCTGAAAATAGTATAGTAAAGAGAAAAAAATAGAATTTTTTTAAAAATTCTATGGACATAGCCCTAATTTCAGCTTTTCTATGGTGAGGAATGGGTGGGCTGAATGGGTATATAAAGGCACCATCCCCCCAGTTTCTACCTTCCTCTCTTCTTTTTCTTTCCTTCTCTCAATGCGACAAACAACACAACTACAGCCACCATCTATGAAAAAGACTGGAAGGACAACAAGGACCAGAAGGACTTCAAGGATACTAAGGACTCCAAGGACTTCAACAACCTAAAGGACAACAATCGAAGCACGAATCAGCAAAAATTCAACAATTCTGGACCAGGGATAGGAAGGGAAGGAAAGATAAGATGGGTTGGAGGGGTGAAAAGGATGGGAAAGTTGAAGGAGTGGGATGGAGTGGAGGATCATGATGGGATGGAAGGTTAGAGGATGAGGATGGGGGGAAAGGTTGGAGGATTGGAGAAAGAGGAGGATGGAAAAGAGTTGGAGGATTGGAAGAAAGTGGAGGATGGAAGAAGGTGGAGGGCCAGGATTGTGGAGTATTTGGAATAGGCTGGAGGACTGGAAGGCTAAAAGGACAACAAAATTACGAATCAGCAATCCTGATTGGACCTTTCTCTATGGACATTTGGATCTTGGACTAAAAGGACAACAACAGCCAAAAGGACAACTACCAGGATACCTCTAGGACCTTTGGATCTTAAAGCTTCCCCTTTATTTTGTTTTGTTGTGTTTTGCTACTTTTGAGAAGGGTTTTAGCTAACAACAGTGTGGGAATCTGAGGGATTTAAAAGTAACTTCATAATTGCTATCTCTATCTTCACTGATAGTTGATACTAGGCAATATATAGCATGGAGGTTGATATGAAGACTGGGGGACTTTGGCTTAATTTGGAAAATGAGGGAATTTGGATTTATGTGGGAACTGAGGGAGATCAAATACATGTGGGAACTGAGGGGAATCTGACTCATATGATGATAGACTTAAATCATTTATATATGTTTCTATCTGATTGTCCCTTATTTTTATAGGGGCTTTGGGATGGGATACATGATTGATAAAGCAATTCTGATGAGTTATATGAAGTTTTTGTTTGCTTTCTACCTGGTTGACTGTATGGTAGTACAATAAAAGCTTTTATATTATAATTGCTTTTAAATAACTGGAGTTGTTTTCTTGAATTTGTACCTTCTTTTTTTTAAAAAAAATAAATGAAAAATAACTATGTCTAGGTTCAGGTATGCTCCTGTTGGTTAACTACAACCTTCTAAGTATATTTATTTCTACTAACGGTACAAGTTGCTTAGTACTATTTCTATTTTTCTAAAAGTCTATAGGTATTGATTTACTGGTACTCTAGCTACATTCTCCTATGGAAAATTCTAATGTGCTACTTAGTATATACTTATAATAATTTGTTAGTTTGTTTTCATAGTCTCAGAGAATACATTTTAACTTCAAATATATTCTGTCCTCAGGCATATATTAGCTTCTAGCTGCCAGTGTACTGTTTTAGTTTTTTTTTTTTTTTTTTCTGGGGGACAATACTTGGACCAAGAAAATATTTAAGAGTCTTAGTGTAATGTATCTGCTAGCAGGAAAGTAAAAAGATTATTAGTAAGGGTAGAGGCTATAGATAGTATATAACCAGATGTGCAATTTTTCCTTTCTGTAATGATACTTACTATTATATTGTTTAGGGAGTATGTTATTAATGTTAAGAGGAGTAAAGTAAGGAGAAGAGGTATAGGTAAGTACTGTTTTTATCAAGCAGATTCAGCTCATCTCTAGTTGATAGAATTCAATATATATATTTTTTCTACTTTGCTGGAGATCTCTAAATAGTGATGTGATATGGATAAGAAGAAGGATAAGATCAATTTATTGATATGGTATCTTATAATAGTTAGAATAATAGAATGCCTAGAGGTAGAGTAAGAAATTTAAGTTTTACATAATAAAAAGCAAGGTAGTATAGTATACTCTTTTAGGTATAGTATATAATACTAGCTGTTCTTTGCAAGACCTTGAGGAGATGTCTTTTATAGAATTATAATCTTTAGTATGTTTTCTATACTAGAGAGTTGTAACAGACAAGGTCCGAGCAGGTAGTCCCAGGCACGCCACAGTCAGGCTCTGGAGATATGAATAGGTTCGGCATCCCAACGAGGGTCTATGCATCAAGGAGCCGGTATCCTACCGGGGGTCTAGACAGGAGACCTTGGTATCTAAGGTGAATCTGGCTTATTGATGTGCGACCGAAGAGTAAGGTCCAGGGAGGTCCAGTATCCCACCGGAGGTCTAAGCAAGAGACAGGTATCCCACCTCAGAGGTCTAAGCATCAGGACAGGTTCCCACCTCCGAGGTCTAGACAGATGTCTGGTATCCCACCAGAGGTCTAA